TGCGACATCAACAAATTTTTAATAGAGAGACCAAAGGGGGGATAATTTTTCAAAATTTAAGGACCAAAATAAGGATTTTTTAAGTTTAAAGACTAAATGGCCAGTCTATGAAATAGTTAAGGGACCAAACTTAAGGGTTTAACCATCTTAAATCGAGAAGCATATTAAGTATTCCCCTTATCAACCTACTAAAAGAAAATTAGTGTATAGTCATAGAATATGAATTCCTTATTAGCTATATGGTACTATCAATTTAATTCAACTTGTTATAATTATTTAATCAAGGAATGTATATACCTATGCTATCAACCGAACATGCTTATGTTCTTGTCGTGTCTAAGTTTGAAGCAATTTTATGTTGGTTTTGTTTAGTTCATGTTTGGTTTTAGCTGTCAATGAACAATTTATAATTGATAAGTAATGTCCAAGGGTTAATAGTCATTGCTATATACAATTTAGACGCGTTTATTTATTTGATTAGATAAAGGGAAATAATTCGTGCATCAACTGGTTCGACACTTAATGGTGCACGCTCCATAAACCAAATAGATAGTAAAAGTAAAGTTATGAATTTACCCTTAAAGCCATCTTCTTCCTCACAATACCTCTTTTCTTCTTGTCTCTCCGTCTCTCTCTTCAATAGTTCAACACTAGTTTCTCAACTTTCTTCCCCTTCCCTCTCTTTCTACCTATTGAAACAAACAAGTTTTTCAACATCTAGGTTCATAAAGAACCCAGTACCAAATAAAAGGAATAACAAGTCACAAACCAACAAAGAAAATGGGCAACAAGAAAAACAAATCACCAAAAACGAGTTACTATTATGGGCACAAAATCAGAACCTACAAAGCTCTAAATGAAAAACTAATCATTCAGAATGTAGATCAATGTCTCTTGAACCCTCAGACAAAATTTTAACTCAATCCAATGATGAACTTTAGCAATTTGGACAAAATAACAAAGCTGCGCACAATACCAAAATTGCAAAAATTTCTCCTATTTTCTTTTTCCTTTTTTGCCAATTGGCTTCACTCACATGCACTCCACTTTTTGTTATATCATCTAAAAAACATATCTGTTTTATGTGTCTAGTGGGTTACAAAATCATGGGTTAAATTGAGGATGATTTTATGAGAAAATGAACTCTTCCTTATGATTTGGTGTTGTTGTCATTTGGGAAATTAATTTCCACTTATTTGGTGTTGTTGTCATTTAGGAAACTTACTCAAGATTTTGATTTGGTGCTTGAATAGTTGATTGAGTTTTGCTAGGATTCAAATGATTTGTTCTTGTTGTCATTTGGGAAATGGGTTTTGTGAAGAAGAAGATGGTTTTAAGGGTAAATTTGTAATTTTACTTTTGCAATTTGTTCGGTTTATGGGGTGTGCACTACCGGGTATCAAATCAGTAGGTACATGAATCATTCTCCTTAGAGAAAATATCTATAAATGATTTTCTAATAACTAAATTAAATAAGAGTTTAGTGTGTATTGAACTATTGATTGAATGCTCATTTTCAAGCTCAAACTCAACTATCCGAGGATAAGGGTTTGAAACTCAAAACTCATCGTCTGAATAGCGGTGGAGCCAAGATTTTTTTATTAGGAGGCAAATTGAAAATTTTATCAAGAATTGGTGTTTCTATATTGAAAAGTCAAACAGAAGAATGCACCCCTCAAACTTGGGAAGCGTGTGGACCCTCCATGCAAGACCTTCAATGAGTGATACTAGATATACATGGAGGCACAAAGTGTCATGCAATTGAATCTAATTAAAGCCATTACCCAGAATTGGCCAATAGGGACCATACATGATGATGATAGTGTTTCCACCAAACGCAATTTCTCATAATAATGGGGATTGACTTTATAACACTTATTAACTTCCAAATATAATCTTTTAATTAGTCTTAATTAATGAATTAATGGATTGACTTCAATGAAACCTACGTTTGCATCAACCAGCTAGCCGCAGGCATA